TTAGGGACTGGTCATAATTTATTAGGGGGGGGGGAGGTGTAATTCAAAATTTTAAGGAATGATATTTTGTGACCCTGCTTTGCCATAACCTGGAAAAATAATGCCCCCCCCTGTCTCTCTTGCTCGTGTCAGTAAACTAATGTACCTACTACTACTAAACCCTGCATTCAATAAATTTTCTAATTCCACTTTAAATTTTCTAATTTTCTAGTTGCGCTTTAAATCAAATACTAAAATTTATATTATACCAATACATAGTCATATATAAAACTTTAGTTTTTTCAAACTTTTCATTCTAAGTTTAAAGAATCAATTTTTTTCAACGCAAACCAAACAAAATGCGAGAACGCAAGTATAAAACAATTAATTGAACTAAAACAGCAGACCCCCTCCCCACTGTCTAATATTTTGTGAACCCCCCTTTTTCCTGGCTAAAAAATATGTGACCCCCCACTGTTTCCACCTCCCCACCCCTCCTGCTAAATTATGACCAGTCCCTTAGTTTGTATAACATTTGCAACCATTCAATTGTTTAGGCCGGATATACCATTCCTTCACGTCGTCGTCGAGCAGTGGGTGAAGTGTGTGAAACACCGGAGCCTGGTTCGGCGTATTTCAGCAATACCTCGACAAGCGGGAGAATAAGTGGCCTTCAAATGTTTACAAGTTATACGATCGTTCTCAGGTCATACAACACGGCTGGCGATAGTGATCCCAGTCAGGCAATTACTGTCAGGACTGCTGAAGGAGGTAGGACGTAATTTGTTGTTGTCCGCATTATTATTCAGTCACGTGTGAGAAGAGTGCTTCCAGTTTGATTCAAACAGTGGTGTTTGAATCAAACTGGAAGCACTCTTCTCACACGTCAGCTGTGGAGCTTTTCTCCGGGTATTCCTGTAGTAAGACTGGATCAAGAAGAGATGTCTCTTACTGGACCTCTAGGGAGACCAGTTTAGAACTGATAGAGCTATCCAGTATAAATAGAGTTAGTTCAGTTTAGGTTTCTTCCTGTAATAACCTAGCTTGGATCAATAAGAGATGATCCTTACTGGACCTCTAGAGAGAACAGTTTAGAACTGATAGAGCTATCCAGTATAAATAAAGTTAGTTTAGTTTAGGTTTCCTGCTGTAGTAACACTGGATCAATAAGAGATGATCCTTACTGGACCTCTAGAGAGAACAGTTTAGAACTGATAGAGCTATCCAGTATAAATGAAGTTAGTTTAGTTTAGGTTTCCTGCTGTAGTAACACTGGATCAATAAGAGATGATCCTTACTGGACCTCTAGAGAGAACAGTTTAGAACTGATAGAGCTATCCAGTGTAAATAAAGTTAGTTTATTTTAAAATAAAGTTAGTTCGGTCTAGGTTTCCTCCTGTAGTGACATTTGGTGGATAGGGGGTAAAACTGTTACAAAACCTTTAGAGAAAACATTTAGAACTGATGGAGTTACCGAGTATGAACAAAGTTAGTTTAGAATAGTTCACTTATTTGGACCAATATTGGTGGAGCTCGTACTTATAGACCGATCTATACCACCCAACTTTTGTCTATCAAGCACGCAACTCTCCTACGTTGTCGTAAGTTGTGTGTTTGATTTACACAGTACAACTCAAGTTGTAAGCAGGTTGCATGCGACAGTTCTAAGCAAAAGTTGTGTAGTGTAAATTGGCTTATTGAGGTCGCGGAATATTCAATGGCAATTCAAATAACTTTGTGATATTTATCTAGTGCCCGGACCCCCAGCTGTGTTTGCTTTTGATGGCGTGTACGACATAGAGGTCCATGTGTACTGGGAAGCGCCGTGTCAGCCGAATGGCGTGATTAACAAGTACATCTTGACAGTGAGCACTGGCAGCCGACAAGTGCAGAGGAAAGAACTAGACGACAATACTCGAGAGCATAAAGTCGTGGGACTCGCGCGAATTACGACTTACAAGTTTAAACTTGTAGCAAGAACATCTCGCGGAGAAGGCATTTCTAAAGTACTGGAAACTAGAACTGCGCCTCCTGCAGGTAAATAGTGTAAAATATTGCGCTTGCCAACGCCAGCCAAGTATTAGTCATACTCATCCTCAATACGTCATGTTATTTTAGTGAAGCCTCGCGCACCCAAGATAATGCGTGTGACGTCAGAGAAAAATGCAGTGACACTCACGTGGAAAGATCAATTCCATGGCAACACTCCTATCACGAAATATGTGATAGAGTATCGAACTTCAACAGGTGAGAGTTTTCTGAATTGTATAGCCTGTATAGCTGGATTCAATAAAACTTCTTACATTTATCGCAATAGTCCCGCCAGAGTGCCTATTGTTATATAAATACTATAAACTATATTACAATTATGTGTTTGTGCTTAAAAAACGCATGTCTGATATTGTCTTTGTAGAGAAAAATCCGTGGGTTTTAGGCTGGAATTTGAATCCTGGGGACACAACGAAGAACAGAACGGACAATACTGTGTGGGTTGTTTTAAGGGATCTGAATGAGAATACGGTGTACTGGTTCCGAATGAAAGTTCAGAATAATGTTGGTTATTCTGTCCCCAGCGATAGTTCTCCGTCTGTCACCACTGGTACGTTTCAATTACGATAATTTATTGAAAATGCTGACGTAAGGCTACAGGGCGACAGTAAATCTAGGAGGTATTGTTCATAAACCAAAGCATATTGCATTACAACTTACATAACATTGTGTTCATCTTCTATCAGGTACGGCTCTCCCTTCTGCTCGGTCGACTCCGATATATGAAAAGATATGGTTCATTTCAGTCATGGCAGTCATTGGATTTCTTATTCTATTCTTGTGTGTCTGTATATGTTTGTTCTGTTGCAGGAGGAGAAGACGAAGTGAGTGTTAAATTTCTGTCCAAATTTGAGTCCATGCCAATAATTGTTTCATTTTGACCAAAACACCACGTTGATTTATTTAGCAAAATTTTCAATTGGAAGAATTCTCACGTCCTTTTTCTGGCTATCGATGTTGTGTATACGCAGAATTCAACCTTTCTAAGACGTTGTTCTTCATTCACTGTTTTGTAATATTCCTCTAATAATGTTTTCATCCACTGTGCGTAATTGTGTACGAGTTCTATTTATTGCCATGCAAACCTACAATGAACGTATTAGTACAAACAGTTTCTAGATTTTTATACAACGTTTGTTTCAGGTAAAGATCTGAGATATCCTGTTCCAGAAATGGAGCTCCATACAGGACTAAGACCATACTCCAGTTATGAAGAAACGTTGAGTAATGGAGGAAGTAAAACACACAGAGATGAAAAGTATGTTGAACATTATGTTTACTGGGTAGCTCTATCAGTTCTTAACTGTTCTCTCTAGAGGTCCAGTAAGGATCATCTCTTATTGACCCAGTGTTACTACAGGAGGAAATCTAAACTAAACTAACTTTATTTATACTGGATAACTCTATGAGTTATAAACTGTTCTCCCTAGAGGTCCAGTAAGAATCGTCTCTTATTGATCCAGTGTTACTACAGGAGGAAATCTAAACTAAACTAACTTTATTTATACTGGATAGTTCTATCAGTTCTTAACTGTTCTTCCTAGAGGTCCAGTAAGAATCATCTCTTATTGATCCAGTGTTACTACAGGAGGAAATCTAAACTAAACTAACTTTATTTATACTGGATAGTTCTATCAGTTCTTAACTGTTCTTCCTAGAGGTCCAGTAAGAATCATCTCTTATTGATCCAGTGTTACTACAGGAGGAAACCTAAACGAAACTAACTTTATTTATACTGGATAGTTCTATCAGTTCTTACTGGTCCAGCATGACTACAGAAAAACCACTGTGTTAGCAGCACCAGAAATTGAAAATAAGTGTTTAATGTTCAAACTCGCAATATTGTAATCCAGATGATTATTTCTCGTTCCAGGCCACTAGTTGACGACGTCGGGGAGGAAGAAAGCGAGCCAGAAGAAGAAGAGGAGGAGGCCGCAAGTAGCCTGGAAACTAAATCAGATCTTTCTCAAAGTGATGAAAGTTCAGATGACGTCTCAACGAAGAAACGCAAGATGGAGGCAGCCTTACGAGAACAAGACAAATACGCGCACACGAGATCTTACTCGACGGAACAACTCTATAATTCCCCACCTCCCGCTTACGCCACCTTCGCCAACAGCCGAAACAAAGGTCGTTCAGAACCGCTTTTAGACCCCTACGCGGACTTTGATGATGGCGTGAGCAGCAAACCTTATCAACTACCATACCGCCCGCCAACAAGACGGTCAGGGTTCGATTACGACGGCGAGAGTTCGGAGAGCTCCGACATTGCGAACCGAAAGCGAGGCGACCCGAGATCAAGTAGTTTCAGGCGTGCATTATTGCCTGGTGCTGGCGCTCCTGGTGGGCCAAGTCAACCCGAGCCTGAACGACCGTACGAACCAAAACGCAAGCCACAAGCGCGTAAATACCGTAGCCTTGAGAAGGCTGTGAACGAGAATGGTAAACCACCTAGTTACCATGACGACGATGACGATGATGACCTTGGATCGGGATCACGTCAGCCAAGTTTGCCGCCCGAGTATCGTTCGGACAGCGGTCGTGATAGCAGTGATGCCGACCATGATCGTACGCCTCTTACCCAGGCTTCTTCGCGCTACAACCCGCAAGATGGGGCAGAATCACCTGCGCCTGAGTACGATTCTGATGACTCGTCGGAGAAACATCGGCTTACCAACGGAAAGGCGACGCCACAGCCCGAGATTTCGTCGTATTCGTCTTTCGTCTAGACCACCCACTGTTCTCTGTTTGAGGATATGTCGCACTGGATGGACGCGGAGGCATTTTGATACAGATTTGAAACAAAGTTCGTGCGCATAACCATTTTCATAGGAAGAAAACTCCTCGAGGAATCCCAATGTATATTCTGTAGAAAGTAGATAGATCGTTAGAGAGATGTAAGATTTTTTATAGGGATTATAGAGTGTGTATTAAGCCGCGCTTTATAGACATTCAGCTTTATACATTCGCCTTAGCTATTTACCATGCAAAACTGCGTCGTCATATAACTGCAGAGCCATTGTGAAACTGTCTGTTTTGATTGTAGAAGATGGACAAAGATGCACTTGTCCGTAAACCCTGTTGTTGCCGTGGCTTACTCTGGATCACATAATGTTCACCCATCTCCCGAAACCTAACATTGAGGGGGAGGTAGGGGCAATAACGGGCGCAGCAAAGATTGCTGTGGGTAACATAGCTTTAAGTTTAAAATTATTAAGAATCTTTTTCGCCGCAGTAACTGTATTTGAATATTTTGAGCTTTACAATGTATCTACAATCATTTGGCCTTCATTTAAAATGCAATTTTTGTGCTAGAAATTAATGTAAATCTGTGTGGACGAAGGACACTTTTTTAGAAAATATTTTTAATATGCAAATAAATGAGAAATCTGCCAAAATGTTGTTCGTGTGTCGCATTTCCAATTATGTGCAATGAACATGGGGGCAACTACTGGAAATTATAAAAATATTTGGAACGAGGGCGGATAACTTTTACAGGTCCTGGGTTCGATTCCCACCGCGGTCAGGCAAATCTGAGTACATAACAACACACAAAAAGTATAATTACAACAGATTTTAATCATGGAAAGAATAGATATCTATTATATTTCTATGATTTTAATCCTGCACCGTTTACGCCGACGTCCGACATGCATCAACCAATCATAATTCAAGAGTTTTAATCACCTAGATTTTTAGGAAAAATATAAACTTTTAATTTTAAAATATGTTTTAATAGAATATTTATTACGTGTAAATTTGTAGCTGCAAACATGATATAAATGTTAATGGTTTGAACCCCCAAGTCCCCAGAATAGTTTTAGAGTTTGGCTCTTTTTGGCTTATTTTGGTCTTGAGTTTGGCTTTTTCTCATTTTCTGTCCCAGAAAACCTTGCAAGCCTGATTTCGAAAAGTTTTATTTTTATATAGTGTTAGTGATGGGCGATACCAGGATTTTTAATTCGATACCGATACCGATACTTTTAAGACCGGTATCGGCCGATACCGATACCTATTTCGATACCAAAATGAACACAAAATTTCAATTTTCGATACCGGAAGTGAGTACTTAAATTGCTACACGCGTAAAAATTGATCAGGTTGTTGCAACATTGTTCACTGAACAACGTTGCAACAATGAGGTTATCATGGCTGAACAACGTTGTTCAAGCGACAATCGTTAACAACATTGTTCCAACAACTTGTTCACGCTTGA